AACCATTCCTGTGCCAAGTGTCGATTCAGAGACGCCATCTGTAGGAAGTGTTCCAGAAGGGGCCACATCACTAAGGTCTGCCGATCGGCTCCGTCTGACACCCCCCCTTCATCGACTCGCAAGTCCAAGTCTTCACTCCAGTCTGCCAAGGAAAGTTGTTTCGCTCTCACCAACTGCCGCTGCCCGTCTGGAACCACGATTGGCCAAACCGACTCGCCTACGCGACGCAAGCTGAACGTCACGGTGCTCATTGAAGGAGCTCCATGTGACATGGAGATCGACACCGGGTCTGCCCTGTCCATCGTGTCATGGAGCACCATCAAAAGACTGGTACCCAGAGTGTCCAAAAGGCAACTCGACTCTCACCGCGTACACCTGAGAGACTACCAGGGAAACGACATTCCCGTGGTAGGCGTTGGCCGGTTCCGGATCGCTTTCAAGGATTTTTCGGGCCTGCTCCGGTTGGTGGTGGTCGAAGGTCAGCGGCCAAGCCTCCTAGGGCTAGACTGGTTTGATGCCCTCGGCCTGGAAGTCACCGGCATCAACTGCATCTCTAATGCAGAGACTGAGGGTCTGGTCAAAGACTTTGCCGAGGTTTTTGACGGCACCTTGGGCCAATATACAGGTACGCCCATCTCCTTTAGCCTTGATCCACAAGTCGCCCCCATCAAGCTAAAGCCACGCCGGGTTCCCTTTGCTCTCAAGGCTAAGGTGGACGAACAACTGGACAAACTGATCGCCCAAGGAGTTTTGGAGCCGGTTGACCACGCAAAGTGGGAAACCCCCATCGTCACGCCTGTCAAGCCAGATGGGTCGGTGAGAATCTGCGCTGACTACAAGTGCACGATCAACAAGGCACTTCAGCAGCACGCTTATCCGGTTCCTGTTGTCCAACACCTGCTGCATTCCCTGGGTGAGGGTAAGGTCTTCGCTAAGCTGGACCTTGCCCAAGCCTATCAACAACTGCCAGTCGATGATGCCACTGCGGAAGCCCAGACGATCGTCACCCACCGGGGGGCATTCCGTTGCCGCCGGTTGCAGTTCGGGGTGAGTGTGGCTCCTGGCATCTTCCAAAGCCTTATGGAGCGTCTCCTGCAAGGGCTTCCGGGCGTGGTACCATATTTTGATGACGTCTTGGTGTCTGCAGACTCACACCAGCAGCTGTTCGAGCGCCTCCGTGCCGTGCTGACCAGGTTCCAGGAGGCCGGGCTCAAGGTAAAGAGGGAGAAGTGCCAGATCGCCGTTCCACAGGTAGAGTTCCTGGGCTATCTTATCGATGCCTCCGGTCTTCATCCAACCACATCCAAGATCTGCGCTATTCAGCAGGCCCCCACCCCAAAGAACAAAACGGAGTTGCAGGCATTCCTGGGGCTGCTGAACTTTTATAACATGTTCCTGCCCCACAAAGCCACAGTGGCTGAGCCTCTTCACCGACTCCTTAGCACTAAGACGCCTTGGGCCTGGGGTCATCGGGAGACGGCGGCCTTCAACGCGGTCAAGGCTCTCCTTTCTTCAGACAGTGTGCTGGTACAGTACAGTGAATCCAGGCCGCTGGTCCTTGCCTGCGACGCCTCACCTTTTGGCATCGGTGCTGTCCTTAGTCACCGTTTTCCAGATGGGAGAGAAGCACCGCTCGCCTACTTTTCCAGGACACTATCTCCGACGGAACGGAATTACAGCCAGCTCGACGAGGCATTGGCACTTGTGGCTGGAGTGAAGAGGTTCCATGAATACCTCTATGGCAGGACTTTTGACCTCATCACTGACCACAAGCCACTCCTGGGCCTCCTCGCCGGTGATCGTCCAACTCCACCGGTCCTCTCACCACGCATGCTGCGATGGACTGTTTTCCTGGCTGCCTACCACTACCGGCTCATCCATCGGCCGGGGAAATCGATGGGCCATGCCGACGCCCTCAGCCGTTGCCCTCTTCCAGCATTTGTGGAAGACCCGGCTCCAGCTTCATCGCTCCTTCTGATTGAGGATCTTCCGGCAGCGCCTGTATCGGCTGCCACTGTGGCCTCCGCATCTGCCCAGGATCGCACCATCAGCCGGGTGCCCAACTGGGTGTGGAGGGGGTGGCCACAAGGGCCCTTTGCATCGGAGTTCCAGCCCTTCGCAACCAGACAACATGAACTCTCAGCTCATCGCGGCTGTCTGCTGTGGGGAGACCGCGTCGTGATTCCCCAGGGACTCCGTCAGCGCGTCCTGGAGGCTCTGCACGTTGGCCACCCGGGAATTGTCAAAATGAAGGCGTTGGCTCGGTGTTACGTCTGGTGGCCTAATATGGACGATGCCATCACTGCCTGGGTGTCCGCCTGTCAAGCGTGCCAGGAGTCGAGGCCTGCACCACCGGCAGCTAAGGGACACACCTGGGAGACGCCAAAGACACCCTGGTTGAGGGTGCACATCGATCTGGCTGGCCCCTTTCACGGCCGGACCTTTATGGTAGTGGTGGACGCCTATTCCAAATGGCTGGAGGTCGCCCTGATGCCCTCCACCACTACCGAAGCTGTCATCCGGGTGCTGCGAGGCCTGTTTGCAACGCATGGGTGTCCTGATGTCCTTGTCTCTGACAACGGACCGCAGTTCACGTCAGGCACGTTTGAGCGGTATCTTTTGGGACTGGGCATCCGCCATGCCCTAACGGCACCCTTTCATCCATCCAGCAACGGGCAAGCGGAAAGAATGGTGCGCTCGACAAAAGAGGCACTGGCGCGCCTGGACCGGGGAGACTGGCATGAGCGGGTCGCCGAATACTTGTTCGTGCAACACATCACCCCTCATGCGGCCACAGGGAGGAGTCCTGCTGAACTGCTTATGGGCCGCCGCCTCAGGTCACCGCTCGACCGGCTACACCCAGACTTTGCCGTGGCTGAACCCCCAGGCTGTGCCAACGCACCACGGTCATTTGTCCCAGGAAACCAGGTCTTTGCCCGGAACTATGTGGGGGACATCCCTTGGGTGCCAGCCACAGTAGTGGGAGTCACTGGACCTCGCTCGTACCAGGTGGCACTTGAAGACGGACGCTTGTGGCGACGGCACATAGACCAGCTTAGGCGCAGGGTTGGGGACTTGGACACTACCGAGGTGCCCCCAACTGCACTTGCGGCTCCAGAAGAGACACGTACAGATGGCGAGGCCCCACCTACACCTCCCTCACAAACTGCCAGCGTGGAGCCGAACCAAGCCGTTTCAGAACAGACTCAGACCACTCTACTTGCGGAGGCTCCACCCACAGCAGCGGATCCAGGGGAGTTGGTTCCAACGCCACCTAGGGTCGCACCACAGCCTCAGCGAGAACTGTGTGGCCCTCCGGACTTGGCTACCAGTCCCCGGCGGTCTGGCAGAGTTTCCAAGCGCCCAACTTATTTAAAGGACTATGTTGTTGGACAGGTATCACTGTTGGTCTAAGTATGGGAAATGTAACCGATATGCTTTTGTGCTTAATGGAACCATTACGCGTAGTGCTGTATATAAGGAAACCATTACGATTGTAACTAACGCCTTATCTCGGTGGGGAGGGGTGTTATGTAGTGTAGTTTCACCCTGGGCCAACAGGGGGATACTGTATATAGTTTTCACTCAGGTCTGTAGATAGTTTTCACTCAGGTCCGCGGCAGTTATTTTAGGCGGGAACTCTGGGCTGTTGTGGTTACAATGTTGACAGCCGGCTGCCTATAAATACAGGCCGGCTGAGCTGTTCGCAGTCAGTTCTATTCCAGCTTACCAGAATAAAGAGCTACTTGAAGAAATCGCTGTGCCGGCTGCTATGTCAACCCACGACTTAACAACCATCATCAGCATTTATTCCGATTTATATACAGTGGTACCTCGGGTTAAGTACTTAATTCATTGCGGAGGTCCGTTCTTAACCTGAAGCACCACTTTAGCTAACGGGGCCTCCTGCTGCTGCTACATGATTTCTGTTCCCATCCTGAAGCAAAGTTCTTAACCCGAGGTACTATTTCTGGGTTAGCGGAGTCTGTAACCTGAAGCGTATGTAACCCGAAGTACCACTGTACCTCTTTTTATCTAAAGATCCCATCAGACTTCATGTTGGCAAAAGCCCATTTCAAAGCCTGTTTGGCTGCCACCAAGCACCAGCTGGGCATGGCGAAGTCCTCAGTTAACCAAGGTCGCTTTGAACCACCTCCCCGCATATTATGCGCAGGCAGATTTCGAAACTGAAAAGAGAAAAAGCGGCGTGCGGGGGGACAAGGGGAAAGGAAAGCAGCAACATGCTTGTAGCGGGTGGCCGGCCCCAGGCCTTCGGATGTGACGCACTGCGTCTCTCCAGATGTTGGCAGCTCGCTCCCCTCCAACCCTGGGAACTCCTCTCCCCATCACCCAAGACCCAAAGGAGGGAGCGCCGTCGGCCGGGTGGGGAATTCCGCTGAGAAAGCCAAAGTCGGGGCTTCCTCCTCCGAAGACAAGAGGCGTCGGTGCGGGCGCCAAGGGCGGAGGCCGGGAGCAAGACCGGGAGGCGTCTGCCCGCCACGCCCGGCCTCCTCGGGAGCCAAGGAGCGGGCAGAAGGAGGACTCGAGCGCCTTCGCCCAAAAAAAGGCATCGCAGCGAAACGGGGGAGAGAGAGGAAGACGAGACCAAAAGGGGAGCGGCAGGCGGCGAAAGTGCGCACTTACTTAGGATCTCCTTGCGCCGGTCCGCGTGCGGCTGGTCCGTATAAACCCACTCGAAATCCTCCCGAGCCACGGTGTTCCCCATGGCTCTTCCGCGGACCCAGCCCCGTCGCCTCTCCTCGGCCTGCTACGTCCGACCCCTCCAGACGCCTCTGCCAGCAATCCGCTGCTCGGCAAGGGCTGCTGCTGCTGCTTCTCATCTAGAAGAAGAGGAGGAGGAGGAGGAGGAGGAGGAGCTCCCGCCCCTCCCGCCGGTACCAGGTCCCCCCTTAGCACAAGCTCATTGGCTGCCATGAGCGGCGACGTCACGGAAGCAGATTAGCAGCCGCGTCTGGAGGAGGAGGAGGCGGGGTGCGGGGGGGGGAGTTAGAATTGAGGTTTTCGAATATGGGCTTTGCCCTCCTTCTTTGTGCGCGTTTCTCTCTCCCCGCTCAAACGCCGTGGCGGCTTCGTTCAAGGGAAGCACCTTTATGTTAACCACGCTAGCCTTGATTAATAATGACACAACACCGTGAATTGCCGCTGACATTTATGGTAATTTATACTTGCGTCATGGTAATAGTACCTTATTAACTTGGTGAAGTGAAGTAGGGCTGAGGGAGCAAGTGAGGCGGGGCAGAAAGGCTGTTGTTTCAGTCAGGAAAGTCGGTTAGTTCCCTGAAGGTTGGGAGCGAGAGACAAGAGGAGGCCCGGCTGAGTTTCAGAAGACAGACAGCCACGTCTGCTTTGTCCTCTTTCCTGCCTCCGTTTCCAAACTTCTTTCACCACCAGAAAACAACTCCGCACTTCTGAGAACTGCTCCTCAACATTTCTCTCGGCGTCTGCAATGGCGCCCCTAAAGGTTTCGCGCTGCTAAGCCACAGGTTCAGCTTGGGACCTTCTCTTGCCCTATATGGCTTCGAAAGTCAGCCCCGAAGGGAAACTCCCCCGGGGAAGGACTTCTTGACTCGCAGCTGCAGTAGCAGAAGCCGCTGCTGGGTGCACTTAATCTCTATCTCAATTCTGGGCATGCCTACCTTACAAGTAAGTGTGCACCATTTTTCAGTATTTAGGGGTCCAAATCGCCAAGAAACTTAACGAACTTGTTGTTTGTTTATCTTGTATTTTTATCTCGTGAAATACCCCTGGGATCTGCAGAAGAAGAGCAGTATACAAATTTAATTACATACACACACACACACGGTAAATAATCAAAAAGTTTGATTTTTGATTATGTAACCCGATGTGAAAGGCAGAACCTGGGTACAGTGGCGTAGCGTGGGGGGTGCAGGGGGGCCGGGCGCAACATCTGGGGGGGGCGCTCGCACTCGCAGCTCTCTGCCCCTACCTGGCTCACTCACTCTCTCTCACTGCAGTGCTGGCTGTGCGAATCCGATCCCAGCCGCCGGGTCGCCGCCCACTGTGGAGGGGGGGGGTGCCAGGCGTGCGGTGCAGTTAGGGGGAGCAAATTACTTGCCTTGCCCCGGGTGCTGACAACCCACGCTACGCCACTGCCTGGGTATCATGGATAGGCTGATTGATTGTCAAACAGAATAATGATTGTTAAACAGAATAATGACTATGGGAGATTTGAGAAACCAGTTAGAACCTATAACAGGGGTCAGCAGCCTTTTTCAGCCCTGGGCCAGTCCACTGTCCCTCAGACCATGTGGTGGGCCGGACTATATTTTGAAAAAAAAATATGAACAAATTCCTATGCCCCACAAATAATCCAGAGATGCATTTTAAATAAAAGGACACATTCTACTCATGTAAAAACACACTGATTCCTGGACCATCCGCGGGCCGGATTTAGGTGATTGGGCCGCATCCGGCCCATGGGCCTTAGGTTGCCTACCCCTGACCTATAACGTGCACTTGGATACTGCAGGCTCAACTTTAATATTTTCTTTTATCCCCAGCGCTCTTAGAGGCTGCTGCACATCAACTTACAGCATTTGAAAAGGAGATCGTGAGTTACTCAGGAGTGGTAAGAGGGCTGGTTTCTAACATTTATAGGTGGCTCTTTGAATCTGATAAGGAGTAAAATGATTTGCTACATATACTGTGGGGGAAAGAGCTAGTTAGACAAATAGAATAAATGACTGGAATGCTTTGTGGTTAAAGCCACCATATAAAACAACATCTGCTGCTGCTAGGGAGCTGTAGGTGAAAATACTGCATAATTTGTAGTCGACACCAAGGAAGGTAAAGGTAAAGGGACCCCTGACAGTTAAGTCCAATCGCGAATGACTCTGGGGTTGCGCCGCTCATCTCGCTTAACAGGCAGAGGGGCCAGCATTTGTCCACTTCCACAGACAGTTTTTCCGGGTCATGTGGCCAGCATGACTAAGCCGCTTCTGGTGAAGCCAGAGCAGCGCACAGAAACACCGTTTACCTTCCCGCTGGAGTGGTACCTATTTATCTACTTGATCTATGTGCTTTCGAACTGCTAGGTTGGCAGGAGCTGGGACGAACAACAGGAGCTTACCCCGCCACGGGACCTCGAACCACCGACCTTCCAAGCGGCAAGTCCAAGCTGCACAGTGGTTTAAACCACAGCACCACCCGCGTCCCATTAGATAAACCCTAATGCGTTGGAGAGGTTGTGGTATGGTTGGTACATACTTCCATATGTGATAGATTGTCCCCAGGTACAAGTGTTTTGGGAGTTGTTATGCCAATAGATTTGTGCGATTACTGGTCAATGGATACATCCATCTCCAGCATTCATGATGTTCAATATGTTTGTGGATAGAAATTTAGATGGTAATCATAAAGAATTGTTGAGTCATTTACTCTTGACTGCAGAAGCAGTTGTAGCTCAGAATTGGAAGACACATCGCAATGTAAATATTGACCAGTGGTGCAGCCTGTTATGTTATGTTAACTTACCTTTCACATCTGTTTTGTTTTGCTTTATCTTAAATTTGTATTTTCAAAAGCTTTATCCCACTTGTAAATGTCTAAAAGAAAAATAAAGGCATATCTCACATGAACACTCCCATCTTACACATATTTTCTTGGAAGTTCTATTGAGTCTGTTGAAATTTTAAATTCTCTTCTGTACTCCAGTTTTATCTATCCCTGACAGACAGAAGTAAGCCCACTGAAAATTGCTTAGAAAATAGGTGATAATTAAGAAAAAGCAGTGTAATTCTTTTAAGTAATACAGCGGTCCAGCAATGGAGGGGGGCAGAGGAATGGAAGGAGCTACTTGTCTGTGGATGCATTTGCCCTCCTTCATACGCACACAATTTTTCTACAGGAACTTTTCAAGGTGTAGGAACCTTGAACATGCTTGCATCTGGTTACATAAGCAGGGCTGGCCAAAACAACTGAGGCCCCCAATCAGCTCTACCACACAATCTGAAAGTTTCACTTCATCAGTCTTGGTGTCATTACAATGGGCCCTGCATAGCCTCATGGATTGCATGCTGCTTCTTTAGTGCGCCTAAAAACATTGCTACTCCAAGCCACTGTTTGGTTTGTTTGTACAGTCAAACCAGTCCCTCTAGGCACAGAGCAATTAACTTGGACTACCTGTTCAAAATGTTAAACGTAGCATGTACCTGTGTTTTGATGGAATTCTGAGACAGCATTCATTGTGCTGTAATGTTCTAGAATGAGGGAGAAACAGTACAGTTTATAAAAGGCTGGTTGTGTGCCTTTCTTGAAGTCGCTTCACACAGAGAGAGATGGCATCCGTAAAGAAAACCAAAAGCACATTGAATGTGCCATGTCGCATGTAACAAGCACATGTGTCCACTTATTTACCAGTGCACACAACTGAACACAAGGTGTGTTCTTCACACCTGATGAAGTATATGGAGATTTCCTAGAAGAATGTGGTATCTGCATAGAACAGACTTGCACATCCAGGATGAAACACAGGCCCTGTATATTAGGGTCTCAAAAACCTATTTCGGCTGCATGCTTCGGATAGCAAAACTTGAGGCATTGGCTTGGGCACATCACAAGCTGAGCAGGTCTGGAATCATTGCAAGTGATGTGCTATTCATTTCCCCTGAAATAAATATGCCGCACAATCCATCTCTGCTAACGTAAAGCTGTACACATAGGAATCACACCAAACATATAAGGGCTTAACCATTTATAGAAGGCCCCCCTTCTCTCCCCCCTCCTCTTGTCTCCCCCAACTTTATACTGTATACAGTAGTAAAATCTCACATGTAATATATAACTTATCTGCCGAAAGAACTTTATGATCTGAAAATGGAGACAATGTATGTACTTTTTCACCCAAGAAAACCTTTAAAAAACACAATTGGGGGGGGGGACGGGGTAAAAAAGTCCTGCTTCAAGTTTGGCTCAAATAAACCTATCTTTTTCTAGTTTGTACCAGAATCCTATTAACAAAATTAAGAGCCCTTACTTAAAATAAGGGGCACTTAATAAGTAACCACTGCATGATATATTGCCCCCACCTCTTATTTCACTTCATCCAATCAAAGTATTGCCTGGAAGAAATCTTACCAGTCCTAAGTAAACAAACTGAGCAAATAACAGTGACAGCTATGCAGGTAGAAAGCAAAGAGGCATGATGACTATCCGCTGCAGAAGCTTTGAGAGGTTGCTGAACAAAGCCTTCAGGGACATGATAGCCCTATCTCACTCACAGGTTGATTGCTCCTTGGTTATCACAAAAAATGTGGGCCTCAGGGAAGGGCTGGAGGAAATGATCCATTAAAAGAGACCTATTCCATGGGGGACACACACGGATATCCACTTGTATATTGTAGGGAGTGGAGGAAGGGCTCCTAGTACTGTGTGAGTCAATTGATCATGGGAGACATAGATATGTGAAATTTGTGCAGACCACACGGCAACTTGCCTGCCTGGTGCAAAGACAGCAGATGGCACATGCCAGCCTCATTTGCTTATGACATGAAGCCAAACTATGGCTTAGCACAAATGAACAAACATGGACTTCCAGAAGGAAGCTCACAGCTACTTTGCTCCTCTTTCTGTCCTCCTGCTGCTACACTGCTGTAAGCAAAGCCATGGTTTGGCTTAGTGTTATGTCCAAACGCAAGATCATGGTTTATCTTCCCCAGGTAAAGCATGAGCAACAAGTCATGAACAAACCTTGGCTACAGCTCATGGCTTGTCTGGAACAAAATAAACCATGAGCCCTGGGTTCAGATGCAACACTAAGCAAACTATGGCTAAGCTCACAGCAGCCATGTAAGACTAACACTTGTAAACAATAAAAAAAATAACAGAATATGTAACCTAGAACATGCAAGTTACATTGCAAATGATGAGGGATAGCCATGTATTTCAGATACACAGTCCATTGGAAGGCAAACACAGCTTAGGCAAATACATAAAAATGTGCAACCATGAAGAAAATATTACCCAGAAACTAAAAAATTTGCAAAAAGACCCTTCCAACCCTATTTTTGTTGGGGTTTATTCTTAAAATTCCTTTTTTTTTAATATATTTTTATTGCCTTTTTCCAGATATCATATCAAACAACAAAAGAAAAAGAAGAAAAAAAACGAACAGAAAAAAGGAACAAATAGATTCCACCTTTCAATTACATTTTCCCATAACTTGCTGGACTTCCCCACGTCTCCCACACCCTGCTTTCTTAACAATAAAATGTCAGCAAATTAATATCTTGTTTCATGTGTTATTAATACTTTCAAGTAATTGTCTTTTAGGTTCAAAAAACTTATTTTCGATTTACTTTTACTTTAATCTAACCACAATATTATTTTAAACTTTAGTCCTCTCTTAGTCATACCCTAATTTCCAATATAAAAAATCTTATTGCTGGAGCTTGGTTTTTCAGTTTATGCAAATTATTGACAATCAGATAACTTATAATGTTTTTGTAAATAGTCCTTAAATTTTTTCCAGTTCTCCTCCGTTGTCTCTTCTCCCAAATCTCGGATTCTGCCAGTCATTTCGTCCAATTCCATATAGTCCATCAATTGCATATGCCATTCTTCCAGAGTGGGCAAATCCTGTGTCTTCCAGTGCTTTGCAATAAGTATTCTTGCTGCTGTTGTTGCATACATAAAAAAAGTTCTATCGTTCTTTATCACATTCTGGCCGACAATGCCCAAAAGGAAGGCCTCTGGTTTCTTGGGAAAGGTATACTTAAATACCTTTTTTAACTCATTGTAAATCATTTCCCAGAAAGCCTTTACCCTTGGGCATGTCCACCAGAGGTGAAAAAATGTCCCTTCCGCCTCCTTACATTTCCAACATCTGTTGTCAGACAAATGGTATATTTTAGCAAGTTTAACTGGGGTCATGTACCACCTGTATATCATTTTCAAAATATTTTCTTTCAATGCACTACATGCCGTAAATTTCATACCGGTGGTCCATAACCTTTCCCAATCGTCAAACATGATGTTGTGCCCAATGTCTTGAGCCCATTTTATCATGGCGGATTTGACTGTCTCGTCCTGAGTGTTCCACTTAAGCAGCAAGTTGTACATTCTCGAAAGTACCTTTGTCTTTGGTTCTAGCAATTCTATCTCTAATTTCGATTTTTCCACCTGGAATCCTGTTTTTTTGTCCAATTTAAAAATCTCTTGAATTTGAGCATAATGAAACCAGTTTTGCACCTTATGTTTTACTTTTTCATAGCTCTGTAACCTCCAATTATCACCTATTTTTTCTAGCATTTCCCAATATTTCAACCAACCGGTCTCCATATTGGGCTTTTTTCGGGCCTTGGCCTCCACTGGTGATAGCCACCTCGGGGTCTTACTTTCCAACAAGTCTTTGTATTTTATCCAGACCATAAATATTGCTTTTCTGACAATATGGTTTTTGAATGTTTTATGAATCTTAACCTTGTCGTACCACAAATATGCATGCCACCCAAAAGCATTGTCAAACCCTTCTAGATCCAGGACATCAGTATTTTCTAAAAGCAGCCAATCTTTCAACCAGCAGAAGGCTGCAGCTTCATAGTATAACCTTAAGTCTGGCAGGGCAAACCCCCCCTCTTTCTTTTGCATCAGTTAGTATTTTAAATTTTATTCGGGGCTTTTTGCCCTGCCAAACAAACTTCGAAATATCCTTCTGCCACTTGCCAAAACATTCAGGTCTGTCCACAATCTGAAGGGCTTGAAACAAAAACAACATCTTTGGCAATACATTCATTTTTACTGCAGCGATTCTGCCCAACAAGGAAAGTTTCAATCTTGACCAAATTTCTAGGTCTTTTTTAACTTCTAGCCAACTTTTTTCATAATTGTCCTTAAACAAATTCAAGTTTCTGGAAGACAAATTAATTCCCAGGTATTTCACTTTTTTAACCACAGATAATTCTGTTTCCTTCCGAAATTCATCTGTTTCTAAAGGTGTCAAGTTTTTAACCAGAACCTTGGTTTTTTGCTTATTCAGCTTGAATCCCGCCACCCGACCAAACTCTTGGATCAATTCTAGAACTCTTTTTGTGCTGGATTCTGGCTCCTGTAATGTTAAAACCAAGTCATCTGCGAAAGCTTTCAATTTATATTGTTTCTCTCCGACCTGTATTCCTTTTATCAACCGGTCCTCCCTTATCATATTCAAAAACACCTCCAGGACTGAGATAAATAAAAGAGGGGATAGGGGACACCCCTGTCGTGTTCCTTTTTGAATTTTAAACTCATCTGTCACCACATTGTTCACTATCAATTTAGCTTTTTGTTCTGAGTAAATTGCATCTATACCATTTTCGAACCCCTGTCCCACTCCCAACCCTTCCAAATTTTTCTTCATAAACTTCCAGGAAATATTATCAAAGGCTTTCTCCGCATCAATGAAAATTAACACTGCTTTTGTATTGATATTTGTTTGCAGGAGTTCCAAGATATCAACAATGTTCCTAGTGTTATCAAACAAATGTCTGCCTGGGAGAAAGCCTGCCTGGTCCTTGTGAATTACTTCATTTAGCACTCTTTTAAACCTACTTGCCAAAATGTCAGCAAAGATTTTATAATCCACATTTAGAAGGGAGATGGG